GTTCATACTATGTTGGTGCTCCCTGTGTCCTCCGCTGTGTGTGTGTGAGGGGCTTTTCAGCACAGAAGCGGGTCATTTCTGATGTGAGGTCATGTCTCAACCCAGACACAGTGGAGGACCTCATCAGAATAAGTATAGAAGGCCCAGAACTAGAAGACTTCGATGCCAGGGAAATTAAGGAGTGGTTGTCAAATGGAAAGGCCTAGAAGGCCAAATTACAAGTCCTGGCCAAGTGAATTTTTCAGAGTTCAGGGAGACTTTCTGTAGTTATTATTATAGCTCATGAATGTGATGTAAGTCTGCGTTAAAGTAAAGCTGTTTACAAAAAAAACTTACTTAACATGAGTTTACAGACTTGCAATGAGTTTAACTGATTACAGTATTTTAAAGATATATTGAGAGTATATAAATTAGAAAATTATCTGTATTTGTAATGAGATCATTAATGCATTAAACATGTTTGGACATAATTTCGTTGTTTTTTTTTGTTTTTTTTTACCCCACTCCACGGCTGGTGCCACCAAATTAAGGTCCAGCGCCACCACTCTCAAATGTTAGTCTGGAGCCCTGTGTAGTTACTATGGTTTTACTGCAAATAGTAATGGTTATTTTTGTGCTTACTATGGTTTTACTGCGACAGTCATAGTTAAACCATAGTTATTGTAGTAAAACTATGGTTGATTTTGTTTTTACTATGGATTTTCTGCAAATGCTGTGGTAAAACCATGGTTAGTCTCTGAAAGAGTATAAACAGTTGTGAATTTATTTGAATGCTCTCATTTGTAAGTCCCTTTTGATAAAAGCATCTGATAAATGTAAATGTTTTTGTATATTTAATATGTTTATTGAAATTGTTAATAAATTTGCAAGCTTTATTGAGAGTGGTGTGTATTGTTTTATTATAAACCAGCGGCTGCTGCCGCGGGTGGTCCGTAACGATGAGCAAAACGCCGGTGAACCGCGTCCACGCAGAGCGGCCGGTATTTACAGCTGCATCGTCCAAACATCGGCCGGAGAGCATTTGCGATCAGAGGCCGACGTCGCGGCAACATCTTCCCTATTAGCAAACGATCCCCGAGCGACATCGTGCCGATGGAGTTTTGTACGTCGGGTCGACACCGGCCCAACGTATGTGTGCTGTCTGGGTAATAATCGTCCCTCTAGGAAACATGAAATGAACTTCAGTTCCTAAAATAGACTTTCTGACAGTGCCAGTTTATCAGGAAGTGATGCTTTTGTTTTATTTGACTCGTTGAATGGAAACGGTGCTTGTTCGCAAATGTTTTGTGCGATATTCCAATTTTACGCATAAGTTAAATTCGCAACTTTGAATGGAAACCCGGCTAATAATAACGTTAGCTCTGCTCTGATTGGCTGTTTCACAGTGCAGCTCATTTCAGTAGCTCACACAGCAGGAAGGAAACACAGGGAAAATATATATTTCAATACTTTCTCTCGCAGTTATATCGTTGGGTAATTATACTGTATATAAAATGCGGGCATCCGGGAGCTGCTATTAATATGCGGGGCATTGAAACTGCTTTTGAATGCATGATCGCGTTTTACTTTCACTTTCGAGATTTGCGATCGCACACGCTCTGTGTAAACTACAGCGGCAGTACTTACCACACATTTTACAAGATCAGATGCTTGTTAGTGGTGCTCAGAATCTGTAAATCATTCGCCATCGTCCTCAGTCATCTCTCCTTACTCTGTTTATGTGGTAAGTGAAATCTTATGTACTGAAATGTAACAGGCTATACTGCTAGCAAGCAGCTAACCATGTCCCTTTTTAGTGGCTTCGCTTGTGTTATTTCATTAGAACGCGTTATTTGCTTTCCGTGCCTTTCTGAATACAGACACAAACCCATCCCTGCACTTCACATCCCCTGCACAGCCTGTAACGTAACATTTATTTCCATGATTTGCCATTTTCGCTGTTGTCCTCGCTTGTTTCTTCAAAATACCTGCAGAACTTCTGATGATTTGGCTGTGCAGGCTGGCCTAGAACATGGGCGGGTTACTCGGGTATATGCAAATGTTGGGGGCTTAACTATTAGTGATCCCGACTGTAACGTCACAGTCGGTGTTATGTTCTGATTCGCCTATTTTTCAGTGGTCTTTTGCATGCACAAGATTTACATAAGGGGGAAACAATGGTGTTTGAGGCTCACGGTATGTAATTTCCATGTACAGAACTGTTATTATTCAACTATGCCAAGGTAAATACAGTTTTCCATTCTATGGCACCTTTAATGAGCAGCAGCTCACAGTCAGCCGCCTGAAAGACGATAATAACGGTCATAATTTCAAATTTAGAAAGGGGCGAACAGTTTCATTGGCCAGTTTCCTGGATGACAGCCAGATTAACCAATCATGATCAAAGCAATAGGTAGAACAACAGCCTTTTTTTAGAAAGGTAAAACAACCAATAGAAATTGTTTCAGCGTGGTAACGCAGCGAAACGTATTTAGTTTGTTAATGATGATCATATTTTAACATATACCTTTAAATTTTAGAATAGGTTTCATGATCAAAATATTGTAAAATGCTAATAAAATAATAATAATAATCTTAAATAATTTAACCCTCTACCGCACGCATTATGATAGACCTATAGAAAAAAATATTTGAATCTTTTTCTTTTCTAAGAATGGCTTAACTTGAAGTGCTGTAAAAAAAAAATTTGGAAAAAAATATTATTTTAAGGTACTTTATGATATGTTGCCATACGGCAACAGCATACAATAGTGGATCTAACTTAGAATAAGTGTAAGCTTACTTATAATTAATATTTTTCCTCAGAAATGTTGTTTGTGTTGATTTAATTGGTGCAATTATAAGCTTTAACACAGTACTTACTTATAATTGACACCTTATACATACTTTCCAACAACTTGTGCTTTTATTTATTCTATTCTTTTTTTGCTGAATAATGATTTATAATTGTTTTAATTTCATTAAATTTTTCATGAATATTATTTAAACTGCAAATGTATACAGTTAAAACAAATATAATACGGTATATAATTTATCATAAAACACTGACATAAAACCAAAAACATTGCAGTTCATGAAAATTCAGCATTATGCAATCTCTTCAGAGGAAGACTATGAACATGACATGTTACAGCTTAACAAATTGCAGCTGACCTTGCTAGCTAGCTAAACTATTGTAATAATGTCATTCCACTATTGCACAGTGTTGCCACTTGGCAACACATACATTTGAATGATTTACCAAAAACTAATTTTATAAAATCTTTTTTGAGAGGTGAATATGTCATCATAACAGTGGCGTTTTAGATTTTTTTGTAGAAGTGACACGGACTGGTCCTTGTTTGTTACTGACGTTTTCTTTCAGCAACTACCAACAAGAGATGGCAGTCTGTCAGAAATCTGCCACAGAAAAAAAACTGCATGTCATGTGACTTAATCAAAGCACATCATTGGCTAAACTAAGGTCTTCTCTATCCAAACAAAAAAAATGAGAATGTTCTCTTAAAGAGACAGTGGCAACGAAATTAACAAAATAGTATGTTGCCATATGGCTACACCATAAAAGGCAGAAATTTCTTTTGTATGCTGTTGAAGACATAAAAAAATCAACATTGATTTACAAGTGTTTATTAACCTTTTTCAACCATTTAGCATTAAACATTTTTTCAACATTGAAACAACAACTGTCATTATTTCAACCATATTTCAACATTGAAGGTTGGTCATGTGCCGGCTGGTTTCAACCGTTCAGCACTAAAGGAACTATTTTTGAAAATAGGCTCATTTTCCAACTCCCCTAGAGTTAAACAGTTGAGTTTTACTGTTTTCGAATCCATTCAGTCGATCTCCGGGTCTGGCGGTAGCATTTTTAGGTGTAGCTTAGCATAGATCATTGAATCTGATTAGACCAGGGGTGGCGAACTCCAGTCCTGGAGAGCCGCAGCCCTGCAGAGTTCAGCTCTAACCCTAATTAAAACTCACCTGCCTGTAGCTTCCTAGTAACCGTTCAGACCTTGATTAGCTTGTTCAGGTGTGTTTGATTAGGGTTGAAGCAAAACTCTGCAGGGCTGCGGCTCTCCAGGACCGACGTTCGCCACCCCTGGATTAGACCATTAGCATCTCGCTCAAAAATGACAAGAGTTTCTATATTTTTCCTATTTAAAATTTGACTCTTCTGTAGTTACATCGTGTACTAAGACTGACGGAAAATGAAGTGTTGCGATTTTCTAGGCCGATATGGCTAAAACTGTTTTACTCTAGGGGAGTTGGAAAATGAGCCTATTTTCAAAAATAGTGGAGTGTTCCTTTAAACGTTGTATCAACGTTAAAACAACAACTAACCATATTTCAACCATATTTCAACATTGAAGGTCGGTCATGTGCTGGCTGGGAAGTCTGCATTGTCCCTTAGGCCTTGCTTAGTGGTAATGCCTTTGCGGCAATGAGCCAAGCTGGAGCATGTCTGCATACTATAGGAATACTGCAGGCATACAGTTAAATCCGTATCATTTGTTCATTCGTTTTTTTAATTTAATATTGAAACTAGAAAAAACGAAAAGAAAAAAAAAGTATATTTTTTTTCTTAGGTTTTACAGTGCCCGATTTTGTTTCCAGGTTTAAAAAATACTCTGAGGTTGTATGAAACCAGCTAATAAGATCACAGCTTACTAGATCAAAAATGACTGCCAGTTTTTATGGAATATGCAACATATAGTCAATGAGTGGACTATGGGTTTCATTTGAGGGTGAGACTAGGGTTTAGTTGATTAGTTTCAAGGAGCTCTAAAATCCTTCAAGCAATTTTTCCCCTGCTGATATATGGTGTAAGCACAACATTTTGCATGTCAAAAGCATCCTTCTGTGTTGACAACCACTGAAAATCTACTTACCGCTTCCCACATCCTGCAAAAAAGAAAGAAATAAAAGAAACTAAATAAACTTAATATGTTAAGAATTAATATTTTAAAAAGCAAAGAATATTAATAATAAATTAAAAAAAACATCCAGAAAGCCTTTCCTCATAATCTTCCACTTTAAATGTATTATTGTAAACACGCCTTTTACTTCAAGTTTAAAAATTAAGTGGTGAGACCATTATTTTCTGTGGTAATCAACAGCACAGACAGATTAGCTAAACCTTTTCTGAATGTGGGACATTCCTAGCTATAACACCAGTTTGCGAAGAATCTGCCATTCCATTAGATCAATATTCTCCTTTGTTTGTCAATACGTTTTTTAATAACATGCAAACAGAAATCGCACAATTGGTTCGTTTGACAACTTCGAATATAACAGATATTTCTGTTGACGCTTTGTCTCGGAGACTGCGTGAGCTTTCCACCGCGGGGGCTTTTGAAGCCTCCCGAGGGAAACTTACAGCAATGATGTAGCTTAATACTGTTGTCAAAGCACATTCAAATCAGGCAGCAGGGTCGAAAGTATGTTATTATTGTGGCATTGCGGAACACTTCGCGAACGCTTGCAGGGAAAACTATTAACTCTGTGGGAATTTCTGCTGTCCCTGTACTTTGTGAAATGACACCAACTTTATCGGTAACTTCTAAAGACAATCCTTCTTTGTTTAAGATGCACGCATTTGCAATAATACCTGATGCTCCATTTTGCCTTTTGGGTAGAGATTTGCTGCATAAATTGGGTGCTCATATTACATTTCAGAATAATTCTCTGCAACTCATGTTTCCTTCTGTCTATTCTCTGACTGTTGAGACAGGAAGTGCGACCACTGAGGCTGAGGTTGCAACTGCAGCCTTACCGGAAAAAGGGGATGTCAACCCATCCAGCATAAGGATGATGCGGGCCTCATAGATGTCCGCCCTTATGCGGCTACTCTGACCAGAGACACACCAGTTTATTGTAAACAATACCCTCTCTAATCGATGGGATTCGGCCTAATTCGGCCATTTATAGAAAATTTACTGGCACAAGGCATTCTGATCAAGACTCACTCACCCTACAATACACCGATCAATCCAATAAGAAAAGCGAATGGTCCTTTTCTCTCTCTTGTATTATGTTTTAAATATCTCTTACTCATATGCGAGGTATGCATGCGCACATGTATACATTAGTTTTCTTGGTTTAAATGTCCCAATAAGGACATGAATGTTAGGACTTCAAGGGTAAAGGAGTTCGTGAGGAACTCTGAAGACAGTTCAGCATTCTTCGCAAAAGTCTATTCCTAATATGTCCATGTTTTTCTGTACATGTGGCCATTTTATATAAACATGTTCTTGGCCAAAGATCCTATATGTGTATGTCATTCATATCCTCATTGCTTAAGAGGGTGAAACTCCCCTCGACATATGCCTATATAATATCTTTTTACCTATGAATAAATTGAAGTATTGAGAATACATTTGAATGTGTGTTTTCTTACTTCCTGGCTGTATTTACACTTTAGGAGACTGAGAAGATTTCAAGGCGGCAAAGAGATATCGAGGGACCAATTGTTATTTTTTATTAACAGTCACATAGTGAGCTGCAGCAGAAAAAAGGGGATGACAACGCAAGCTGTGTGAAGCATTAGAGCACTTGGCAGTTGGTCAGCTGCAAGTTTATGCATTTCAGAACAATCTGCAGTCATAAAACCTACAGAATCTAGTAACGCTTAAGTTGTGTACCTGATTCTATCTCCATGTCTGATTCGTGGTTTTCTGAATTGGATCTACATTTCTTTGTCTTCTGGGGTGTGGATTCAGACTCATGACGTCTCTTACTGCAGCTGGAGCCCTGATGAGCACATATCAATGCACAAGGTCATAAATAATTTGGGAAATAAGGATAAAGGCAATAAATTAGAAAAACATTTTTAACAGATGTTTTTACCGTTGGAAAGTTACTGCTTAAAAAAGCAGCAAAATTTTGCTTCCAGTGCTGAGGCTGCATTGGAATAGAACCGAAAGACCGGTAATCCTGTCCAAAAAAAAAAAAAAAACCACAAATTAGAACTTAAATAAATTGAGTTTAAATAAAATGGAAACCTAGATAGTGAGAAATAAAGATTTACATCAGTATGCATTAATCATGGACTAGATCATCTTTGATTGCCGGCATACTTGCATAAGCATGCAGGTAAATAATATATAACCATACAAACCTGCATTTGTAGTTGGTCAGCCTGTAAATTAACTGTTCTAAATTTCCTGGGGAAAATGTCAGTGGTAGGGCTGTGGCAATATCTTTGTTCTGTTAAAATTTTGCTGAAGTATCACCATACCAAGTTGTATTGCGGTACCACACTTTGTGTGTTTGGAAGAATCATTATTGCAGGGGATCTTCTTTATTAATTCTTTACAGTCTACATAATTCATTACTAATGGATGATGATTATTATTATTATTATTATACAAAAGTAATGTAACTCTGTCTTTGTTTCTTAACATCAACCCAGTGGTTAAACCATCAATGCAGTTAAAACATTCATTTCTAAGAAAACTGAAGACTTTGCCTTCCAAAAATGAAATTATGTCTGCAGTAACAAATGTGAACATTACAAATAAAACTAAAACCCTCTAGACTCCACCAAACTTTAACCATCAAATTATTTCCATTATGTTCCTCCTTAATGCAGCAGTGCTCGCATAATCCATGCATTGTTTTATGTCCAATAAATGTGTATGAACACTTACATCTCTTACGTTGGGAGGTGTAGACACATTGAAGCCAGGAAAGTCAACCAGCTTTGAGACATCGTAAGATATCTTTTGGCTGTGGTTGTTTTCATCTTCATCATTTGATCCTTGTGAAGAAAAGTAAAAGAGTCAATGGCAGTTTAGTTCTATTTAAAACACACTATCATTCTTTAATCGTGCTTATGACAAGTGAAGATCAGGGCCCGTATTCATGAAAAATCTTAGTGCTAAGAGTTGCTCCTAGTAACAAAATTCTAAGAAAATTCTTAGAAATGTGGGTGTTTCCTCTTAAAATTAAAGAAAAGATCCTAGTAAAGAAAAAAGTAATTCAGAAAGCATCTTAATTCTTAAAAGAGGTCTTAAGGTCCAAAAATGTTAGGAGTACAGACGAGGACTTTTAAGAGACTTGAGAGTTTCTTTAGCAGTGGAGAAAATCAACGAAACAAGAAGAGGGAGAAGAAATGTGTTGCACACAATGCATGACAGTGAGTTAACAAGATGCTACACATTTGATGGTTCAGGGATCATGTTTGTGACCGATATTATTAGAGACACATCTCCGACACCGTGCAGAAATGCCATAGCGCCAGAAATGGAAGTAAATCACTACATTAACATATTTGGCAACTGGAAAAATACAACTATGCAGCAGTGATGATTTGGGTCTGTCACAACCTTCTATAAGCAAAGTGATCACACAAACAATTACAGCTAGGCCTGTCACGATAACAACTTTTTGTTGTGCGATATATTGCCCCAGAAATAATTGTGATAAGCGATATTATTGTCATTTTAAAGACCATTTTATTCCACTGAATATATAATCAATGTAACAGCATAATAATGCAAGAAGGCCTACACACTTCCAAATGACAACAAACTTTAAATTTTTAAGAATATTTAGTTAGATCAGAGCCCGTATGTATAAAACTTCTCAGAAATGCTCTTAAGAATAGTCTTAAGCTTTGACTTAAGTGTCAAAAAATTCTTCGTAAAAAGTAGGACTTAAAAATTCTTTGTAAAAAGTAGGACTTGTCTAAGAGTAGGAGACCTTTATAAAGAAGCTAAGTCTAAGACTGATTCTTAAGTGTTGACTGAGGTGACACTTAAGTATTGTGAACTAAAGACTACAATGATGTCAACTCAAAAAGGCTGCCCTTGACCTCTGAAACAGCCAATAGTGAGCCTGCTCATGTGAAGTCACAGCAGCATAACACCAATCATTTAATGTAACTATAATAAAATCATTTAATTAAGACACTGAAATATTTTAATATTTAAATTTATTTTTTAAAAATGCTTTGCATTGTGCAAAATTATCACAAATTATTACTGATTCTTTGAAATTGTATTCTATTGGTATTTCTCCTCGTTTACAGTTGGATCAATGACGTGAACATGAGTTCCATCAACGGCTCCAACAACTCCAGGAAGGCCCACAATCCTCATAAAAGTGGCTTGTTTTTGCAGCATGGTTTGACGGTCAGTTGGAAGGTCAATGAACTGCCATACAGTAGTGGCTAAAATTTATGTCCGGTCTAGGAAATTTGACATCTTCACCCTTATTAAAAAAAAATGTGTTAAAGATTTTGTAAGCATGTTGCATTATTGCTCAGAGTCAATTGTTTTATTTGTGATAATAATGCAATGAAACATACCAAATTGTGTGGTCATACTTTTTGGCCATGCTGTCATACAAAGGAATTATGAACACATACAAAAACAAGAGAACCAACGAAATATCAATAACTGATGTTGTAGTAGTAAATATCAATGTCGCCAATTTAGTGATTTTGTCACTAGATTTAGTGACTTCCTCACCCCTTTTGAGACTTTTTTTTCAAAAGCCTAGCATAGCAACAAAATCAATTTCTTGGACAAACCTTATCTAGATTCCAAGACTCCCCCACTGATCTATATGTATATAGATCAGTGAACTTGCCATTATGATGTAATCTAGCAACATTTAGCAACGGTTTTAGCTACTTTCAGTTGAAAGCAGTTGGCAACACTGGTCAGTGTTTTTTTCCCTCATATTTGAATGGTTTAAGTGAAATGTGGGGTCATTAAAAAAAACCTCCACACATCACTTTTGGCCACTGTTGTGTTTGGTGGGATTAGTGTCACAATATTTAAGACCCTGCTTACTGTGTCATCACCGGTGCATTGCTGCATTTTTCCAATTTTCCAGCCAAAAAATGTTACTACTTTAATTTCTGCAGTTAGAGCATCGATTTGTAGAGTGGAAGAAGTTATTAAATTTCTTACTTGGTCAGTTACAAAAATAATTGACTATCTTGGCGATCAAGTTTGTATCATTTTATCAACATATAACGCCAATATGTCATATCTCCGTTGGAAAGTGTGTCTCCTCCTTTTGCTGCCATCTTGTTACTCTTAACTAGGTTAGAAGACCTCTCCAGCTCTCTTAAGTCATTTAGGAGCTGAGACCTAGTCTTAACACTTAGGAACCTTTATGAATCACACTTATTCTTAAGTCTAGGAATAGGAGTAAAATTACGTCATTCTAAGAATTTTGACACACTTAAGACTACAATTTTACTCTGAGTGGCTTTATACATACGGCCCCAGGAAATTAAGTATCAAATTATTAGATACCTTAAAAAACCTGAATAAATAGTAAATAAACATTTTCTAACAAAAAGTGCAAAGTAACAAGTAGAAAAAAAGAAAAATGCACAAAGAACTTGTATGGAGATTTTTCCATCTACATATTTTTTCCTTGACCTTCTTTTCTCTGTAAATTAAGGGTGCACACTATTGCTGAAAAACACAATCACTACTACTTAGCAGTCAGATGTCCGTATGCACAGATCCCTAAATAAGACCATATCTGCAGATGAAACTTTTTTTTTTTGTAGAAGCATTTTTTAAATTTGAACTAGCACCTCATGACTACACCACGTTATGTACGAGAAGCTGCAAAAGACACAGGTACAAGTGGAATGTACAAAACATGGCGACATTAATTTTTGAGTAAATATAATGGGCGATATATTGCGTCACCAAAAATTATTGAGGTCATGTACATATATTGCGCGATAAGTCGATATATTGATTATTGCGACAGCCCTAAATAGCACTTTCAGAACCTTATTGTGTTGCTGTTCATTTCCTATAAAATATGTTAAGTATGACAGCATGGTAAATAAAAAATAAAGAATATATATACATATATAATGTGTGTGAGAGAGAGAGAGAGAGAGAGAGAGAGAGAGAGAGAGAGAGAGAGAGAGAGAGAGAGAGAGAGAGAGAGAGAGAGAGAGAGAGAGAGAGAGAGAGAGAGAGAGAGAGAGAGAGAGAGAGAGAGAGAGAGAGAGAGAGAGAGAGAGAGAGAGAGAGAGAGAGAGAGAGAGAGAGAGAGAGAGAGAGAGAGAGAGAGAGAGAGAGAGAGAGAGAGAGAGAGAGAGAGAGAGAGAGAGAGAGCACAAAGTGAAAGTTTATACAGACCCTACTCTTAAAAGCACTCTTTTATTTCCATCTTAGACCACTAACCAATCACATTCTTTAAAAGACTGTGTCATAGCTAGCAACGGGGTCAGCCCCGCCTCCTCACTAAGATAAAAGTTTTTGTCTTTTCCTCGCTCAGAGTTGCTCTCAGATTGGTCCTGAATCACTTTTAAGCCAAGACTCCTAGTTAGAAATTTTTTAGCTAAATTAGGAGCTCTCTGAGAGGATTCTTAGAATCTTTAAGAATCCGGGCCCAGGTCCTTATGACAGGTCATTTGGACAGCTGCAACAAACCCCTTACGTAAGGAAACCCTTAGTAATAATTTTCTTACATTTTCAAACTCTTATAATTAAGGGCTTTAACCTGACTGATGACTGGCCATAGTAAAATATAAAACTCAACCTTACCATCATAGAGCATCAAGCCTGAGTTTTCCATTTCTGCCTCTTTTAACCAACCAGGTGGGTAGCCGAGCTCCCTCATGCGATAGATGAATGGAGGAAGGGTTTTTGTATTCATCCCAAGCACATCAAGGAGCTCTTGACTATACAAAGACAATACGAATTGCATTCCATTTGAGTTGATTTTCAGACAAACAACACTTAAATTACCAAATTAAAATATCTGGTGGGGAGTCCACATCCATTAGCTTTGAGACCACCTATATGATAAAGCATAATTCTTAAAGGGGTCATATGATGCGATTTCAATTTTTCCTTTCTCTTTTAAGTGTTACAAGCTCTTGGTGCATAAAGAGGATCTGTAAAGTTGCAAAGACTAAAGTCTCAAATCCAAAGAGATATTCTTTATAAAAGTTAAGAG